TTGAGATAAATTTTTTCACTATGTAACCCAGTCTGGTCCTGAGCTTGTGGTCCTTCTGCCTTAGTCTCCCAAGTGCTGGGATACAGGTGTGTGCTACCATGCCTGACTAATGGATAGTTGCTTTTGTAAATGGTTGAATACTATTTTGTTGATAAATTGATGTCTAATTTACTTGACTGAGTCTTTATTGGAAGACACTGAGGTTCACTTCAACTTTTTACAAAGTCTGTGTGTTCTTCTATATAAATATATTTACCTTCTGGAACAGCAGTTTTCATCCTGGGCTTTGCAGCCATCCTTTTTGACAAACCTCTATCTTCAAAAATATTCATTATGATTTATAAAAGTAGCAAAATTACAGTTATAAAGTAGCAACGAAGGTGATTTTTATGGGGGCTGGAGAGATGGCTCAGAGGTTAAGAGCACTGGCTGCTCTCCCAGAGGTCCTGAGTTCAATTCCCAGCAACCACATGGTGGCTCACAACCATCTATAATGGGTTCTGGTGCCCTCTTCTGAGGTGAAGGCATACATGCAGATATTGTATACATAATAAATAAATAAATTAAAAAAAAAAGAAGAAAGAAAGTGATTTTATGGTTGGGGCCATCAAAACTTGAGGAACTGTGTTAAAGGGTGGCAGTATTGGGAAGGTTGAGAAGCACTGCTGTACAATGAGCGGCGTGCCCCCTGGTCTGTGAACGACTACGACTCTTTCTGAGGTATGAGGGCTCCTTGCCGGTGAGCCCCTGCACTCTCATCTTAGTCAATTTGACCAACCAACTTCTGTTATCCTTCGCCTCTGTGGGAAGGTTTTATTGTGCTTTTTATCCTGGGAGAAAATGACTGACAATTGTTTAGAGCAATTGCAGGAACTACATGATAAGAACCTGGCTTAGTTGGTAGCTCCTCCAATTATGTAGCCTAACTTAGGGGCATCGGTGATTTAATTTTCATAGATACGAGAGGATGTATTTTGGAATACAGGTTTGAAACTTTTAGCAGTGTCTCTAGTTTCCAATTTGCACATTTTTTAAAAGTGTGTCTCTTTTTCCCCCATTTTTTTTGTCTTTCCCCCAAACATCTAGCAATGCAGCCTTATGTTCACAGTAGTCTTCCTGCCCCAGCTTCCCTAGATATGTGACTCCAGCTGTGTGTTGCCTGACCTAATCTGGTTCCTTTTTTTTTTTTTTTTTTAAATGCCCAGGACTAAATCTCAGTATTGCAGGATAAACATTTAATTTCCATATGTGGGAAAACAGAGGAAAGGCAATTCCAGTAGGATTTACCAAAGTGTAAAAGAGAGATAGAGAAAGAACACTTTTGGCCCATTCCCAGGTTTGGCAAAGTTGAAAGAAAGAAGAAAGAAAGAAAGGAAGGAAGGAAGGAAGGAAGGAAGGAAGGAAGGAAGGAAGGAAGGAAGGAAAAGAAAGAAAGACCCAAAAAGCTAAAATTCATGGTGAATGGAGTAAAAGGGCACAGAGGAGTGAGAGAGAAGGGGAAGTGTGCAGCATGGATAAATACATGAAAAACTGTTGGGATAAATATAGATGGGCAAGAGGTGATTGTGAATGAAGTTGTTCTAGCAATGCCATGAATTCCTAATGGCGGGGGGGCTGTAGCACACAGTTGTTGTGATAGAGCACAATTCCTCTGTTCTGGGTTTCCACTTGTTAGGAAATAAAGCTCTTTTGAGTTTCACTTGGAGAAGTCTATCATCTAACTGTTCTGGGCTAGGGCCTGAGAATTGACCCAGAATATTTACTCCATTGTTTGGCCAAGAAAGCAGTTTTAGTCAAACTTTAAAGACTATTATTAGAACAAGTAATACATTTTTTAACTTCGTGTAAAATTATATAAACAATGTTCACTTGATTTTTTTTATATTTTATATTAATCACAGGTTATTTATTTTGTATCCCAGCCATAGCCCCCTCCCTCATTCCCTCCCAATCCCACCCTTCCTCTCTCCTCTCCTCCCTGCTCCTTTCCAAGTCCACTGATAGGGGAGGACCTCCTCCCCTTCCATCTGACCCTAGCTTATCAGGTCTCTTCAGGACTGGCTGCAATGTCCTCTTCTGTGGCCTAGCAAGGTTGCTCCTCCCTCGGGGCGGGGGGGGAGTGTTGAAGAGCTCGCCATTGAGTTCATGTCAGGAATAGTCCCTGTTCCCCTTACTAGAGAACCCACTTGGATACTGAGCTACCATGGGCTATATCTGAGCATGGGTTCTAGGTTATATACATACATGTTCCTTGGTTGGAGAAACAGTCTCATGAAAGACCCCTGTGCCCTGATATATTTGGTCCTTGTGGAGCTCCTGTCCTCTCCAGGTCTTACTAACTCCCCCTTCTTTCATATGATCCCCTGCACGAAGTTTTGGTTATGAGTCTTAATATCTGCTTTGATACACTGCTAGGTAGAGTCTTTCAGAGGCCGTGTGTTGTAGGCTCCTGTCCTGTTACTTGTTTTCTCCTACATCCAATGTCCATTCCATTTGTCTTTCTAAGTGAGGATTGATCATCTTACCCCGGGTCCTCTTTCTTGTTTATCTTTTTTAGGTGTATAGATTTCGGTATATTTATCCTATCTAATAGGTCTATATAAGTGAGTATATACCATGTGTGTCTTTTTGTTTTTGGGATATCTCACTCAGGATGATCGTTTCTAGGTCCCACCATTTGCCTGCAAATTTCATGATTTCCTCATTTTACATTGCTGAGTAGTATTCCATTGTGTAAAAGTACCACAATTTCTGTATCCATTCCTCAACTGAGGGACATCTGGGTTGTTTCCAGGTTCTGGCTATTATGAATAAAGCTGCTGCAAACATGGTTGAGCAAATGTCCTTGTTGTGTACTTGAGCACCTTTTGGATATATGCCTAGAAGTGGTATAGCTGGATCTTGAGGTAGCACTATTCCTAATTTTCTAAGAAAGCGCCAGATTGATTTGCATTCCCACCAGCAATGGAGGAGGGTTGCCCTTTCTCCACAACCTCTCCAGCATGTGTTGTCACTTGCGTTTTTGATCTTAGCCATTTTGATGGTTGTAAGGTTAAATCTCAGGGTCGTTTTGATTTGCATCTCCCTGATGGCTAAGGATGTTGAACATTTCTTTAAGTGTTTCTCTGCCATTCCACAATCCTCTACAGAGAGTTCTATGTTTAACTCCATGCCCCATTTTTTAACTGGATTACTTGATTTGTTGCTTTTTAACTTCTTGAGTTCTTTATATATACTGAATATTAGCCCTCTGTCAGATGTAGGGTTGGTGAAGATCCTTTCCCAATCTCTAGGCAGTCGTTTTGTTTTGATGACAGTGTCTTTTGCTCTACAGAAACTTTTTCATTTCATGAGGTCCCATTTATTTATTGTTGATCTTAGAGCCTATGCTGTTGGTGTTCTGTTCAGGAAGTTGTCTCCTGTGCCTATGAGTTCTAGGGTCTTCCCTACTTTTTCTTCTAGTCGATTTAATGTGTCTGGTTTTATGCTGAGGTCTTTGAATCATTTGGACTTTAGTTTTGTGCAGGGTGATAAATATGAATCTATTTTCATTTTTCTACATATAGACATTCTTACTTTGATTTTTTAAATTAACTTTTCCTGCAAATTTTAAAAGGAGCCGAAAGAATTGAGCATCTCATAGTAACATACAATTAGGAAGTCTTCTAAGAAAATATTGGAACTGTAGGTCTCCTTTCTTTCACAACACTCAACCTACCCTCCATATGAGCTCGTTCCTTGTATAGTGGTTCTCAACCTTCCTAATGCTGCGACCCTTAATACAGTTCCTCATGTTGTGGTGAGCCCCAACCCCAACAATAACATTATTTTCCTTGCTTCTTCATAAGTGAAACTCTACCAGTGTTATGGAACATCATGTAAATATCTATGTTTTCTGATGGTCTGTGGTGACCCTTGTGGATCTGCCCTCCAAAGGGGTCAAGGTTGACAACTATTGTGGAAATTAGTGTATTCAAGAGAAAGTGAGTGATGTCAGTCCAAGCCAGGAGTGATGCCTGTAATCCTATCACTCGGGAGGCTGAGGCAGAATGTTTTTAAGTTCAAGACCAGCCTGAGTGTGTAGTGAGACTTCGTCTCAAACAAACATCAGAACAAACAACCGGGTGTGACGGTACATGCCTACAACCCCCAACACTGGGAATGGTAAGGTTGGAGGTGAGCTTGAGGTCATCCTGGTATACTTAGTTTATTTCAGGTCAGGCTGGGAAACATTGTGAGACACCCCGCTCAAAAAATTTTTATTCTGAACTGTGTTCTAAAATTATGAAACTTGGCATATCTTTGCAGGGTTTTATTACATTGCCGACTTCTTCTGTTTTTGTAGTTTATTTAATAAAAGAGACTAAGGTCAAATATAGTAAGCAATAGCGGTGCTGTTAGAAAAGAATGTCAACCTAAAGGCGCTGTGTAAAAGAATCAGTTGTTTCAATTGTGCTCTCTGCTCATTCAGCCTGATGCCAAGTATTCATCCTGGGATTTTCATGCTACAACCATTCTCCCTTATATCACGTCACACAGACTGTCATTGGGTTACTTTATGATTCAGGGTTAGTTTCGGCATATCCAAATGCTATCTGTTATGGATGCTAAATTTAGGCATGTGGTCCAGAGTTGTAGCCAACCTACTTTAATACGACCAATTGGGTGCTTATGTAGACAACTTAGAACACTCAGAACTCAACTCCGAATAAGCTTTGCACTCATAGATATGTATGTTTCTAGTTCTCTTATGTCACTATATTTGGTAAAGATTAGCCAAATCGAACGTGCCATCCCTTACTGCTCCATTCCAAGAGTGCCAAAGACGGCTTCCCTAGAATTTGCCCGTAAGGTAACTCTAGAAGTGACAGACAGCTCGAAGCCGGGTTCTCCCGCCTTTTGATTGGGCTTCGCAGGAAGCCCCGCCTCGGAGATTTAACTCAGGGCTGCAGTTGGCCTGATGCGGCTGAGTGGCGGGTCTTGGCCACGCCCCGGCCGTCCGCTGCGCTGCCTGAGCCAGCGCCGTTTCCAGTTGAGAGATGGCGGCCGCCGCAGGTAGATCGCTCCTGCTGCTGCTCTGCTCCCGTGGCGGCGGCGGCGGGGGCGCCGGCGGCTGCGGAGCGCTGACTGCCGGCTGCTTTCCCGGGCTGGGCGTCAGCCGCCACCGGCAGCACCAGCAGCACCGGACGGTGAGCGAGCGTGGCTCCGGGAGGGCGGGGCGGCTTGGGGAGCCGCGGGCAGGCCGGGGCGCCCGGCGACTTCCCTCAACTCGCGGCCGCCCCGGGGTGGCGGGCCACCGAGCCGCCGTGTCCTTCAGCGCCTGCGGCGGCGGCTGGGAAGGCAGGGCGGGCGGGAGAGGAGGAGGAGGAGGAGGAGGAGGAGGAGGAGGAGGAGGGGCGACAGCAGGGATGTTCCCGCAGGACTGGGGACGCCTGGGCGGGGAAGACACGGGACTTGAACCTCTCCCTGACCCGCCTCCGGGCTCGGTCCCTCCCTCCGTCGTTCCGTACAGCTTTCCTCCAGTGTTCCCGAACTGAGCCCCGTGCAAGTTGTTCCATTCTCTCCTCCTCTGGGCTGGCTGGGCGTCCTGAGTTGCCGCGGTTGCCGGTGTGTCAGGAGAGTGGCAGTGCCATGCTGCTGGGAACTGTCCCCGGAGAGCGCCCCAGGACCCCAGGAAGCTGCTGCCTCGCCCTCTCTTGGCCCCTCGGAACGCGCAGGAAGGAAAATAAAACTTTATCCCTCTCTGATCAGGTCCCCGAGTATGTGTGTTCTGGGAACCAGCTTCCTCGAGGTGGATGCTGCATTGCTTCAGGAGGCAAGCACCATCCTCTCGGGTCCTTAAAGGTCCCGATGGTCCCCCCGGAGGGTTGGCTTTCACACTACACGCGTGCCCAAAGGAAGGGCAGCAGGCACAAGAGAGGCGGCATGGCAAGTTGTTCACAGAGGCAGGGATTTGGTGGTTCTGTTAACCAGTTCTTGCCGGGTTTCATTGCCTGGCAAAGAACAGGAATTCTGTCTCAACAGCCTTGGTGTGTGTGTGTGTGTGTGTGTGTGTGTGTGTGTGTGTGTGTGTGTG